GTGGTACTATGGAGACCATGTTAGCATCTGCTTTTTAGGGATGCACTCTGGTCATGGCTAACTATAGGCTTTTTGCCTCTATCCCAAGATCCAATCACCTCTGTTAATTTTGGAGGGAAGTCTCTAGTGTAATTGGCCCAGCACCCAGTTCTCTGTGAATGGACCACAGTATTGTTTGATACAATGGCATTAACAAAGATACTAGTATACACAGAAAATGGATTAATAGCAACAATGATGGCACCCTGGCAACAGCAATAAAACCAACAATAATGGCATCAAAGTCAAACTGGATATTGACATTTTAGAAGAAACAATAATGTGCTACTCTTACTCATAGAAAAAAGATTTATAATTACAGTAAAAACACTAAAATAAATGAAATGTTGACTGTCTTAGTTATTTTTCTCATCACTGAGACACAATACTCAATACCCACAAATTAAAAGAGAGGTTTATGTTAACTCATAGTAGAGGTTTCAGGCCATAGTCAGTTGGCTCCAAGGCAGAGTTGCATGGCAGAGGAGAAGCAGTCCATGGCAAGGCAGGTAGGAAGCAGCAGCCTGCCTTCCTTCTCTCCCTTTGTATTCTGTTCAGACTACAGGCCTATTAGTTGGTACCAGTCACACTCAAAGTGAGTCTTCAGTCTTCAGTAAATCTATTCAGCCACATCCAGAACTATGAGTTAAATCAGCTGACTAACCCACTTATCAGACACTCATAATCTGTATTCACACATCCTAGATCCAGCTACCTCCCAAAAGCCCCACCTATAGCACATGAGGCTTTGGGAGGACATCTTGATACCACCACTCTGGAACATGGTGCTCTGAGGCTCTCTTCTCAAAGTTTCACTTTTGCTATTTTGAGACTGCAAGGGATGAAGTCCTGCTGGTTCTTGTGATGTCCTAAGACCATCTTTTCTATTGTCCTCTGCAAAATAAGCTTTTTGTTGCTAACCAAGCTCTCTGTTCCATCTTTGCAGGCCACAACTTTACTGGAGCTTTCTTTCTGGCCAAACTGAAAACTTTTAAAATTATTCTGCTGGGATATTTGCTACGGATTCTCAATGTAGAACTGGCTAAAAGCCCCCAACAGTAGCCATACCACTGTCTCAATATTAGACTGGCTTGAAATTTCTTCTACCAGATGAATTAGTCTGTTGTCCTAGTTTCCCACAATGTTTCTGGACAGCAAACTGCAGACAAATTTTTGGCCAGAGCATAACACACATGACTTGGAGTCTGACTGCCAATGTGACCTTTGTCCCAACTGAAAATACTTGAGCCTGGTCTTCTCCAGCTGCATTCCAGTCAACATTCTGGTCTTCTGTGCCCTGACCAGAATCTCCCATCATGCTCACCTTACAGCATTCTAGGGCTGCTTCTTCAGCTGACATCTCCAAACCTTTTCAAACTCCTCTCAAGCCAGTTCCAAAGGCTTCTGAACCACATGGCCAGCATACGGTAGATATATACTAAATGCAACAGCTATACCTCTTTTAACAATAGAAAAGAATTCAACAGTAATAGCACACACTTAGGTATCTAAAGATGAATAAAGCTAAATGATTATATTAGAAAGAGAGAAAGTAGAGAATGAGACAATGAAAAAAGTAAAATTTGAAAAATTAAGGAATAAAAGAAAATTAATAGATTTAGATAAAAGCAACAGAGGGGGCCAGGATGTAGCTCAGTGGTGTAGCACCTGCCTGGCAAGCCTGAGGTCCTGAGTTTGATTCCCGGTACTCCCCCCAAAAAATCAACAGAGAAGGACAAACAAAAAGAAGAAAAAAGAAAAAGCAGAGCAAAAAATGGGAAAAGAATTTAAAAGAATAAATATCCCAATCTTACAAAAAAAAAAAGAAAACAATGAAAGCAAAGAAAAATAAGCCCCCTGCCCAATTCCTCTGTATTTTTGAATGAGTGGTTTCTTTCTAGGATCTGTAGCCTTGGAATCCAGCAAGTTATGGTTTTCTCCACTTACTTTTATGGGCTGTGGGTTTGTGAACTGCACCCACCCCTGGCACCTCTGTCTTTACACCCCAGACTGTGTCAACTGTCCAAGATGAGGCTGTCCTTGCTCAGACTGCTAGATGGAGAAAATAATCAGACCTCTGATCTCTGTGCTGGGTGTAGGTAGTGGGGCAGGGGTTCAAGGAGACCCCTGGACTTAATGCCTGCATTTTCAGATCCGGTCACCTCTGAAATCCTCGAGTCTTTCCTCTCACCATGAAGAACAGAGCGCCATATTCTTCCTGGTCTGAGTTTAAACTTCTCTTTTCATACCTAGAACTTCCTTCCCTGATAGAGAAAAACCTGGATTTCTGTATTCTGAGTATGCTTACCTATTTCATCAATCCTGCTGTATTCAGGTAACCTTCCCCTTCTTGCTCCAACACCATCCCTTGGGTGGACACCCTTCTCAAAGAACAACTTTCAGTAAACTTTCATGAACTTAAATTGTGATGTATCTCCTTTTCTCCACTAGAATGTATGAGAGGGGGTCTATCTGCATTATCTGCCACTAATGGCCTAGCACCTAGTATAGTTCTAAAAAGTAGATGTATTTAAAGTTTTTAGCATAAATGAATGAGAAAAACACGCTTTACAGCTATGTTGTTTAGAAAAGTGTATAATATGTAGCCCAATGTCTCCGAATCTCAGCCTGAAATGTGACTGCAGGGTACATCTAGCCCAGTGCTTGGCCCATGGTGGACTTTCAAAAATAGCTTACTGAGTGGACAAGCCCAAGAGATTACCTGATACATACATTTCAGCATTTCATCTGTCATGTTGCCATAGTGGGAGATGTTTGAAAACTACCATTTTAATTTGTTTTATCTTTTGTGGAGCTGGGACTTGAACTCGGGTCTTGCACATGCTGGACAAGTGCTATACCACTGAGCTACAACCCTAGGGGAACTTTTTCCTTTTCTTTCTTCCTGTCTTTCTCTCACTTACTCTCCCCTCAACTCTGTGTCCGTCCCCCTCACTGAGGATTGATCTGAGAGTACTCACATTGAGTTATCTCTCCCAGTCCTTTCTTATTTTTTGAGACCAAATCTCACTGAGCAGTTTAGTTGCCCGCATTGGGCTCAAACTTGCAATCTTTCTGCCTCAGTCTCCAATTTTAAAAAATGAAACAGGTTTACTAAATTCCCAAATGATACCAGCTTAATGAATAAGCTTGGCTTTAATTTGAACATAGCAGACATTTAACCATGTAGCAAATATTTGTTAAATAAGTGAAATGCTACTACTACTAGAGAGAGAAATGGAAACCTAGGCTAGTACATCCGAGAAAGAAAAAAGAAATTGAATAATTAAAATATGAGGTGCTGGGTGTGGTGGCACATACCTGTAATCCCAGCACTGGGGAGGCTAAGGCAAGATGATCACCATGAGTTTAAGGCCAGCCTGGTTGAAATAGTGAGTTCAAGGTCAGATTGAACTACACAGCAAGACTTATCTCAAAAAAAAAAAAAAAAAAGAAAAGAAAGAAAAAGAGAAAGAAGAAAAAAGGAGCGAAGACTGGCTAGATGCAAACACAGGAGATCTGTGGGTCCCAGCAGAGATAACACACTAATGACAAAGCATTGATGCTGATGATCAAAGAGTGTGCTCTAATTCTAAACTTGTTCCCTTTCCAGATTAAGGATGGGTCTTCAGTTTTAGTTTTATCAATATAATCAGAATCAACTGCTCACAATTCACCAGCTTCTGTTTACTTGTTACTACCATATGCTTCCTTCTTCTTAGGCAGCAGAAATTCTTTTCAAGTTACCTCCTCCACTCAGGAGTGCGAGAAACAAGTTCAGCAAACTTGTCAGCTGAAATATTTAGGCAGGTTGACATCAGCCTGAAAGATTCATTGTGCATACATTCAATACACACTGATTGCCTACTTGGCACAGTGCTGTCAAGGGTTGCATTAAGTACAAGGATGAGGTGCTGATGGTATTCTTGCCTTCATGGAGCTGGAGGTCTACAGAGGCCAGAGTTGTGGGGTACAGTGAAGGACTAAGAGATAGATTCTCCAGCCAGCATGTCTGAAGCAAAATGGGAACTTGGACATTTAAAAGAAAATGAATCTGTCTCTCAGCCCACACACTCACTGTTTTTTCTTTAAATGTTGTTATTCCACAAAATACCTTCAGGGCAGGCCGGAGTGATATTTTTGTTATCTACCTTGTTCCCTGCCCCGGTAGGGCAAATGGTTGGGCAGTAAATATGATCTACCGCTTTTGATATTGCCTCCCTTTAGTTTACAGCTCCATAAATGCAACTAGTTCTTGAACTGTTAAAAAATAAGATGTAAGAGGAAAGGTTAAAATGGTAAGATTATTAAGCTGATAGAGGGTGATTGGTAGTGATTTATTTATTTTTTTGTAGGTACCAGGAATTGAACTCGGAACCTTGCACTTTGACAGGCAGGTGCTTGGACCTCTGAGCTATATCCCTGGCCCAGCAGTGATTTAAATAATGGCTTTCAGGCCTTTAAAGTGTGCATGACTGGTGCTAGGCAAAGAAACCTCTCTGGATTTGAGACCGAAAGTATGTGAAATAGTCAAGTCCCTGAAACAAACATAGGATTATTTACTATAAGTTGTATGTCAATGCTGTAGTAAAACATGCAAACAGAACAATGTGCAGTGTCAGGGGTGGGAGTATAAATAAACCTAGGAAAAGAGACACATTCCATTTTTACTTTCAAAAGTATTGCCAAGTTTAGAGTCAGGAGAAAGAAAAAACAGTCTCCTGAGACCAGATGCAGAGAAAGGGATATAGAAACAGACTAACATTCTACTTCTTGCTTTTTACTCGATTTTATACTGTGAAAAAGGAAAAAAGAAACCCACATATGAGAATTGCTGATGTGTAGGCCATCCTGGGGCTACCAGACATGGGCTTTGAAAAGATTCTGTGGTTTCTGTCTCTTTGTGATTACACATGCTGCTCTATAGAGCAAAGAAAACAGAACCTAGAGATCGGTTTTTGAAGTGCCACAGCCACAGCCTTTATCCTTGCCAGTTAAAGCAATGAAAAAGTAACTAAGACACGGGGTGTAAAATGCAGGTTATTTTCTTGGGCCTCAGGACTCTCCCTTGGGAGTCAGAAGTAACCAACTGACTGGCATTTATTGAGACACTACTACATGCCCGACCCTGGCCAACGTGGTTTCTCATAAGGCTGAGTGAGAACCTGGGGTAAGGGATACAGGCAGAACTTGGGGATCCAGTGGGATGATGGGGATCACATGCTCACCCCAGGACTTGACCTGAGCTTTTCCACAGACCTCCTATTTCCTATAGAAAGTAGGAAAATTTTGCTCCTCATGTCTTTCCCACTCTTGCCAGTCCAGTTTTTCTCCCATGTATCCTAGTAGCCATATATTTCATTTTCCACCCATCCAGACTCCTTGCTCCTTCCCCTTTGGTCGGGAGAGAACTCATAAATGTCATTGGTCACAAATCCACTCTCTGCACTGGCCAGAGTGACAAACCCACTTTCTGAAGCGTTCACAGCCATGTTGTCATAGTCACAAGACATGTCATCGGGAGTGGCTTCTCCTGAATGCACCCGGAATGAAATATTCTTCAGGTCTGGCCGGGGCTCAGCTAAGTCAGCTTCACTTTGTTTTCTTATGACGTTGTAAACTTCTAGATCTGGGCTGTTTTCTTGGTAAGGAGAGGGCCAGATGGTGTGTTGCTCCTTTGTGCGAAGGTCTGGCTGCTCCCGTCTTCTAGGAGGAAAGGAAACCAAGGCTGAGTGTTTGAGACCAGGTGACAGGCCATCCCCATGCTTCCCCCTGAGGCAGGAGGAATTAACTCCAAGCAGTCACTAACCTATAGGAGCTGAGCTACATAACCTGCTGCTACTGCTTTGAGGTGGTGGGGGTGGGGAGAAACAAACTAGAGAAGCGTTAGTTCAGAGCAACTGTGTATGTGTCATTTACAGCTGCCAGAGTGTTATGGCTTCTATCTAGCTGTCCCCTCAAAGCCTCAAGTGGAGCTTTTCAAAAATGGCTGGATCTAGGCTGTGTGAAGGTGGATTGAGGGTGTGATACTAGGATTAAGGATGTGTGATGCTAGATTAGTCCTCTAATTGGATTATTGTAGTTCTGGGTGGTAGTGGGAAGCCCCAACCTGGGTGTAGGTGGCACCACCCCAAGGGCTTGTAGTCTGGATGGGATGAGAAGGAAAGGGAAAATGTACAATAGATTCTGTGAAATGGGAAGAAATTGTTCACAAGGAAAAAGGAACTAGGATGGGCGAAAGGGGAAAGGTCAGTAGGGAAAAGGGAAAAAATGCAAGTCAGTCATACTATTAGTGTCTCTTAGGTCATTAAACAGGATGGTTTGAGCTAATATGGATTGGATAAATTTTCATATCTTATATGCTGAGCAACTACTTTAAAGATAGCAACATTTAATGTATTATTGTTATTCTCCAGTTATTTTGTTATGCAATTTTGTTGTACCTTTTTCCCATAAAGTAAAATAAAAAAGAAAGGGAGCCTTGCTGCTCGCTACCTCCTGGCTACTGTGCCATGGATTGCTTCTCCTCTGTGATGCCGCTCTGCCACGCCACCCTGCCTTGGAGCCAGCTGACTATGGAATGAAACCTCTGTACACTGTAACCTGAACTAAATCTTTGTCTTACTTTATGGGTGTCAGGTATTTTGTCCCAGCAATGAAAAAGTAACTAAGACACGGGGTGTAAAATGCAGGTTATTTTCTTGGGCCTCAGGATTTGTCAGTGTCTAGGAATAGAACTGGATATTAAAAAAACACTACATTTTAAAAGACCCATTTTTAAGTGAGATTTAGTATGTCCTTCCATTATGAATATTGGCAGTAAACTGAGCAGTTGACTTTATCACCAACAGAAATCATAGATATTTTCATATCACATCAATTATTAGAGTTACCTTGAAATATTTTTTTTTGGTTTTTGGTTTTTCTCCGGTACCGGGAACCGAACTCACGACCTTGCGCTTGCCAGGCAGGCGCTTTGCCGCTGAGCTAAATCCCCAGCCCCCTCCTTGAAATATTTTACCTTCATCTCTACATCTAGGTTACACTAATTATTCCTACCACTAAATAAGGAAGCATTTGTATTATTATATTCATACATTTAGTTTTGGAAGTATTTTGCTAAACCACAGAACAGTGTAACTGTTTCCTCTTCAACCTAGTATATTTCCTTTTACATATTTAAAAATATCATTTCAAGAAGAGGTCCATAGTCTTCCCCAGACTGTTGCAGGGGTCTGTGGCCCAAGTCAAGGTTAAAAACCCCTGGGATAGATTGATTCTGGTTTGAGTTATACCATGCCCAAATCTTGGTGAGGAAATAAATAGAACAAGGAAGGGAAATCGAGAACAAACTGTAAAAGTAGGCTATTGGAAATTACACTTGCAATTTTTGAACTTAATTCTATTTTTAGAGTCAAAGAAAATAACTAATAAAATGATCATAATAACAGCTAATATTTCAAAGTGCTTACTATATGCCTATTGCATGTGTTCACTGCTTTATTACAATAATCTTTTAAGGAAGTTATGAAATAAAATAGGTTCTAACTGGAATCTTACTAATTCACCCAAATTGGTCACCAAAGAGAGGCAGAACTTCAACTGGGTCTAGTTTTCCTGTTGTGGAATGGGAATACTCTAGGCTTCTTCTGTGTATACCGTGATGACGGGGACTAAAAAGGTGACTGAGAACAGTTCTGTGTACCTGAAGAATGGGGGCACATGATCTTGACCATAAACAGAGGTCTAGGTTACGTACTGTAGAAGTTTTGTCATTATCTACTGTTCTGTACTCCATTAAAAGAAAAGTCAATTACAAGTAATTTGGCTTTTTCCTTTTGAATGAAATGCTCACTTTCAGATCCTTCCAGAATGCTTTGGAACAATCACTTTTCCTATAACACGATGGTCATTCCTTACTCAGTCAACTTTAGAACAAGGACACTTTTGCTGAGTGACACACGGATACAAAGGAAATGAATAACCCACTTCCATCCTTGAAGTGGTTTACACCCTTCCACACACACAAAAATAGACTGTGAGTTCACACTCTTAATCACAAGTAAGCACAAGTGCTTAGCATTTCTGAGTTCCCTGAGGACATCAGAGAATGTACTCTCAGATGTGTCGTGGTCATTCTCTTAAACTGCCATGATTTTTAACAAAGTAAACAGGGCAAATCTTTTTGTACCGGATACACAGGTGTAAGCCTGGGAGTGAAGGTTTTACTCACCTCTTTCTATAGATCCAAACCCAGCACATTACTGCGGTCACCACAAGGAGGAAGAGAGGGATGCTGGGGATTAGGATGTAGGCTAGATTCAAGGGAGCTCCTGAAAAGCAAAGCAGCACATTGCCAGCACTGGTAATTTTTTTTTTTTTTTCTTTTTTGGTGGGAGTGTGTGTTTCAAATCTTAAAAAGCACAGTAAATACAAGGGTTTCCAAAGAATGTATTCCTAGGAAACAGTCACAGTTACTCAAAAAGTCTTCCAGTTTCTGCCTATTCTGGTATCCTAAAAAATAATGCAAATACATTTACATTTTGGGGTCTCTTGCCAATATTGAAAGGGCACTTTTGACAATTAAAGATAAATTTACAGAGAGGAGATTCTCTATGCAGCATTCCTTGGCAGACAGGAGCTGTGGGGGCAGTGTGATGCCTTTGCCTGGCAGTTCGCAGTGTGGGGGGAGTGCTGGCAGAGAAAAGGCAATGAGCCTGAAATCTCAGTATCATTACCATGGAAGAGAAGGTTATTAGAATGCAAAGCCTTCCCAACAGTTCTGACTGTGGCCAGCTGGACTCAGTTGAGCCCATGAACAGTGACTGTGAAGACCACTTAGCATCTGCTTTTCTGAACCTTTTAGTCTTTTAAGACTGCCAGAGATCAATCCCTCAGGGGGATTTGAAAGGAATCAAGGATTGAAAACTAACCACCTCTTCCTTTGCTGATCCAAGATTCCCACCATACCAAGGCTGTTGCTTTTATTTTTTCCTCTGAGGCTACAAATCTGACACCCATCAGAAAACAGAAAACACACTCCCAAATCCACTTTGAATATCCCTATAATAACAACCAACAGTCGGGATGCCACCCACCTTTGCCCAGCCCTGCTCTTTTTTTCAAGGTATTTTTCACACATTATAACTACTGTATAATAAAAAATCTGGACCATTTCACTGACGGGTCCTGAGAGGGAGGTTCTAAATCCTTGGAGTTTTCCAAGTTCAGGATTGGCTTTGTTATGCACGAACCCCTCGGTGGTACCAGAGTTCATTGAAGGAGGTGTCTCAGGATGGGGGCTGACCACACCAGGAAGAGCCACCATGTGATTATAAGGTGGGAGCTTTGAGCTGGGTGGTATCATCCTGACCTTTGCAGACTGAACTGTAACCACATGACCAACCTTCAGATCAGTCATGCTGATGTAATGAAAGCCCAAACAAAACCTCTGGACCCCAAAGCCCAGCGGAGCTTCCTGGTTAGTGTGATTTTATAGAAGACACAGAAGATCTCTATTTAGAACCCTCCCAGACCTCCTCCTATGTGTCTTAACTTAGTTGTTCTGGACTGGCATCTTATATAACAAAATACATAAATACAGGGTTTTTCTGAATTTTGTGAATTGTTCCAGTGAATTACCAAACTTGAGAGGGGGGTTATCGGCTCCTCCTTGGATTTGGATCCACATACTTGGGGTGCAGGTGGCCTGAGGACCCTCAAATTTGTGGCTGATATCTAAAGTGAGGGCAGTTGTGGGTTGTGCCTTTCAGCCGTGGGGTCTGTGTTAATTTGGGTGGTCAGTGTCAGAACTGAATTATATATTCTGTTTTACTTTATGAACACAGTAATCCTCTCAATAGGTAAGAGCAATATCATTACTTCCACTATGAAAGTGATAAAGATGAGGTACAGAGAAATTAAGTGGTTTTTTTAACAGTTGCTCACTGACAAAAACCTAAATTTCCCTCTTGACACTTTGGATGAGAGTGAGGTTGCAAGTCCATTAGCACTCTAATTTACCACTCCATTTGTTTTTTTGTTTTTGTTTTTTTGGTTTTTCTCCAGTACCGGTGATTGAACTCACGACCTTGAACTTGCCGGGCAGGCACTATGCCGCTGGGCTAAATCCCCAGCCCTTTACCACTCCACTTTTCTTTTACCTTTTACGATGTAACATTTTAAGTGTTTTTGTCCACTTCCTCCACTTGTTTCCTAGGTGAATATGAATCACAGGTGTTATGCAGCAGAGCTTGGCTTTTTCTGCTCTCATTTCTTTGTATCTACTCTCTCAGTCCCCACTTGATCCCATTCCCTGTGACTCATGGGTGTCCCAAGGCTCTGTCTTCACACAGATCTTCCGCCATCTGTCTAGTCTGATTTCCCTAACTGTGGTAGGATAGCTCCATATGCAAGTTACAATGATGAAGCCTAAAATGTAATAGTGTTTTCAAAGTCACACTTGTCTAATTTCACGTTTAAGGAATTGCAAGAAAGAACAAAGTAGGGAATACAAACATGGGTAATCTGTGATCGATGGAATCCCATTGTGTGTTTTTTCCAGGTAAGTTCTGTACATACCTTTGTTTTCTTTAAATGTTTCCTTGGCATCTTCTTTCTGGGTTTCTTTGGGAAGAACAGGTGTTGCTGGCTCTGTTCCCTCACCTGGAGAGAGACATACAGACTCGACAGTGTGGCGAAAGCCACTGAAACCCAGCTATACTGTTAGGTCTTGTCAAGTTCGAAGTGGGATGCAAAACATGCAGTGGCAATTTGACCAATGACATTTATAAAGATAGAAATATAAATGGTTGAATTTGATGCTACAGAGGTTTGTCTTCATCTTCTTGGTGAGATCCTTGCTGCCCAGGATCAGACAACAAAACAACCACCAAGAAGTTGTAAACCATATAAAATACTAAAGTGCTAAGGGGAAAACCAGTGACTCACCGCCAGGACCATAAATAATCAGTGTGGCTCACTTCTTGTCTTATTAAACTGTTCCCTTCATATGCAATTGTTCCCTTCATATGTCACTAATAATCAAAAGTAACATTCCAAGATGAGCTTGTAACTGTTGATTTTCAGTTTTGAGAGATGAATATAATAACAGCAAGTAAGAATAAAGAAGTAGTTGCTATGGCTGGTTGTGGTGTAGAACCAAATTGTCTTGGTTGACACAGTGGCCTTTCTGTTGAATAATCTGGTTGTAAATCCATTAAGTGAGTGTATAAACAGCTACATTAACCCAAATCTTAAATAACAGCCTTACCTCCAGGCCTTGTAGAAGGAGCTGTTGGTTTTTCTACAGCAGGAAAAAAAAATGAAAATAATAACTAGATTTTTTCTTCATCTGCATAAAATTAGATTATCACATCCATTTCCAATAAACTATTTATTGTCACCAGATTATTTACTGTACCAGATACCAAGGGCTAACGAGTTAGATCAAAAGAATTACTTCTGCATAAGATTAACCTACCTCTCAGTTTTAATTTGGTGCCTTTTTTTAAAAAGGGGTTAAAATTTACACATGTGAATCTTCAAATATACACAAAAATAGAAAGTCTGCTGTAATGCACCCTTATACACTGTTAAGCAGCTTCCATGCTATCAATGTAGTTAACACAGTTTCAACAATATCTCCTACTCCCTGTCTACACGAGTCCTGCATGGTTTTAAAGCAATTCAAGATTATTTTATCAATGCATAGTGGGGGTGTATTAGAGAGGAACAAACGCTGATTTCCAAGCATTAAAAATAGCTGAGGGACTGCGCAACACAAAGGCAGAGAGATGTGATCAGCTCTGAGTTATTTTAAATACTTCCAAGAGCCTCAGGAAAGTGAGAATGCAGACAACCCAGGCCAAGTTTTCTCCCTTTGATTGACTGCTTGTCTTGACAGCAAGTCTCTTATATCAATCAGATACCATGGGGTTCATAGGAATAGGGTTCATAAGGGTGCGATTTTATTTTATTTTATTTTATTTTTTTTTTTCCGGTACCAGGGATTGAACTCATGACCTTGCACTTGCTGGGCAGGCGCTGTGCTGCTGAGCTAAATCCCCAGCCCCTAAGGGTGAGATTTTAGAAATCACATTCCCAAGACCCAGATGTCAAATCTATTCTGGTTTCATTCAGAAACTTTTAATTATCAGGGAAATATGAGAGAGAGAGAGAAAGAGAGAGAGAGAGCGAGAGAAAATAGAGGCGATGCAAATATATTTACATAATTCAAAAAAAGCCACATTTGTATAGCACAACAACTCTTGATAATCTCCTACCTCTTTTGTCTGTAACTCACTATTATTTGTCTATTTGTTTTCCTGAGAAACTATTTTGTAGATAATAATATGTAAAACGATAACCATTGATAATTTCCTACCATTTTGTCTGTAATATGCTAAGTCCCTCCTATTATTATGTTATCCTTGTTTTACTCTTTAAAATAAAAAAATTTTTAAAAAAAGCCACATCTGTAGTGCCTACTATATGAAAAAAATGATTCTAAGTGATTTATAAGAACAAATTAAATTTTGATAACAGCCTTATGAGGGAGCTTCACTATTATTCTGGTTTTGTACTTGAGGAAACCAAAATATAGGGAGATTGAATAATTTGTAAATTCAAGGCTAGTAAGTAACTGAACTGGGATTTCAACCAAGTAAATTCTTTTTTTGGTTTTTTTTTCTGGTACAGGAACTGAACTCACGACCTTGAGCTTGCCAGGCAGGCGCTGTGCCACTGAGCTAAATCCCCAGCCCCTCAACCAAGTAAATTCAAATAAGATTAGACTAGGAAGGAGACAGAATGAAAATAGTAAGCAGACATAACTGTGTTAGGTAGTGGAGAAAAAAATAATCTTGGCCATCTAAGGAGCTTATATTCTACAGAATGAACAAAAATGTGGATGTATAAGGTACTACTTAATATTAATTTCATATTACATTAATATACATAATATAGCCAATAACATTTCATGTTCTACTTATGTAGTTATCTTTCCAAAGTGCAGAAACGCAGTAAGCATAGCCCAAGCTTGCGACATTTCCATCAATCCCAGCACATTCATCGTCTGAGCTTCTGATTATTTTTTTGTCTGATTTTCCCTAAATATTCTTGTGCCTTTAGCATACCTCAGAAACAACCAAGTGTTCAGCTCTGGCTAGCACGCCACCTACTCCACAGGGCCACATGCTTGAATTAGTTTTGGGAATAATATCATTCACCCAGTCCCATCTCATCCTGTGGGAACCACGGAAGTAATCTTCCCCTAGCCCGTGAAATGGATGTTTCCAGACTGAGCACCAGCCATGTCCCTGTTTCCAGGGACAAACCTGGAAACAGGCAGTTAAAGCACTGTGTGAGGAGAAGCACCTATTGTAGTTTTGAGGGGTCCTGAAATCCTTCCAAAAGAAATTATCTTTTTAACTTTCTATTTTGAAATAATTTTAGGTTTATGAAAATTTGCAGGAACAGTACAGAGAATTCTCATGTGTCATTCACCTTCTCATTTTACCACATTTCTGTATCTATCAACTTATCGCTGCATCTTACATACATGCATGTATTTATATACATATATGTACACACACACACACATATTACATTTTTCCAGAGTAATGTGCAGACATCGTACCTCTTTATTCCTAAATACTTAGTCCATATTTAAGAAGGGACAGGTGCATTTTCTGTATAACCACAATAGAATGAAATCAACATTGATATATTATCTAATCTACAGACCTTATTCATATTCTGCCAATTCTCCTGATAATGTCACTTATAGAAAATCATCATCTTCACTGTCACCACCTCTACCACCATCATGATCTAGGATCCAACCAAGGATAACTTGCTGCACTTAGCTTTTAACTGACATTCAACTTGAACCTGAAGGGTGAGATGAGTTGACTGGGAAGTGCAGGAAACAGCAGTGAAGAGCTCTTGGGGGAACGACACTGGGTGCAGAGGTGTTGCAGTAGAACGGGGAGAGGAATAGTGGTGTTGAGAACTGAGGGCAGAGAAGGAGGCAAGGGTCTGATCATGCCGACCCTTTCCTTGCAATGCTAAATTGTATGAATTATCCTGAGGATAAGTGGTTACATAAAAGCAGTGTGTTAGTTCTTCTCTGCATACCCACCTCCCTCCACTGGATCTGTGCTCTGTGTCCTGGGAGGCTGATCTCTATGCACTACGTTACTGGGAACCCCTTGTCCTTTGTTTCCTGAGTTAGTCGATGGGAGGCAAAAGCAAATCAGAGGGTACGAAGAAAGAAAGGTCACTGTATTTATTCTTCACGACCTTCCAGGTCAGCGTGGTTGGCCTGGAGCTACGTTCTGTTAGATACTTTGCCATCTCCTGTTCTTTGCCTACACTTCTGAAAATACGCTTTTTATTATATTCTCCTTATTAAACTCTTTGAGTGTATCATCTTTTTCTGTCCAGAACTCAGCCTAAATAATGCAGGCAATGGCAAATGTAATAAAGAGTATGATTTTCTTTGCACAAAGGTATCAAGTTGAAAAAAAATAAAAGGCTATTGAAGCAAATTTCAAAATCTCTTACTTCAAAAAACATTCAAGAAGTACACACATTTAAACCAGCAAGCTAACAGAATACAGTTTAACAAAAGTGATGGGAAACTAGTTTGTAACAAGTGTTCTGCTCTCCCTGCTTTAGGAAGGTGACCTGTTAACTGACCCAGTCTGTTTTTACAAGCTCCTGCCTGGGACAACTTTGATTGGGAAGGCCAGGTCACTGAAGAAAATAGTTCACCTGATGGTATAAGAGGGGAAAAAAACATTTTTCAGTAGCAAAAATTGCCCCCAAGCATAGTCCAATTGAAACAATTTTAAAATGACAGTGTTACTTAGACTCAAACTAGATATAACTAGTCACTCTAGTACTATCAGGAAAGAAGGCAGAATTGAGGCCAAGCAGTTGGCTTCAGGGAAGTGAGAAACTTTAGGGATGGACTGAATCAGCTGAAGTTTAAATCTAAGTCCATTATAATAAAGGAGTCTGGGAAACCTCAGCAGAGTGAGACTGGCTTATAGCCAGTTCGAAACCCTTACAGACCTAGAAGCAAATCCAGATTGATTTTGCAAGGCATACACAAAGGAAGTGGTCTGGGGAGCTTCAGCTTGTTCATCAAAGCGTCTGCCATCTCTGCCTAGTGCCAGTGAAGCTGACATACTTTATCGTTTGCCCCTTCTGGTCATTGTTGTGTTTCCTTAAATTCCCAGAAAATAATCTCACATGGCTGTTGGAGAATTTGTAGAACAATGGTCAGGTTATTCCAAACTCCTGTAACCAACTTCACTTGTGGAACAAGTAAGAATTCATGTTTTTCCATGAAGATAGCTCTTTCTTTTAAGTCTTGCTTTATCATACTGATATTACATTCTTTCTTTTTTTTAATCCCCTTTCCTAGCATCTAGCATTGCTTTGCTAAAATTACTCTTGAGCGAGGAAGTGTCACTGCATGTCTCTTTACAAGAATTCTCAAAGTTTAATGATGCTGGCATTTGTAACAAGCTTTCTCGGTGACCACACAACCTATTCTTGGCACTAACAATTACTTATAAAAGGAGAGAGGAGGTTGAACATTTAGTCACATAGCCTGGGACAGGATTCATTACCGTCAGAGTATTTGCAAATGAAATTGTTTTTCATGTTGCATCGGTCATCATTCCACTGGAACATGTAGGGGCCCCCGAGGCCAGCAGGTGCTGATGGCTGGTGGTACATGACCACGCAGATCTCGCTGCCACAGGAGGGCTCATCCACATACCAGTTCCTGTAGGAAAAGGATCAAGAATGGAGGCGACTGGAGAAACATATGCCAAGGCTTTCAAGTCTTGGTTTTCCCATCAGGTTCCATTGAGTTGTGAACACAAGATTCTACTTCAGAGCACAAGGAGGGTGGATGAGAATTGAATCACTGCCAGTATGCACAACAACATGCTTTATAATATAAACATCACAATCAGTCATCTGACATTTGAGACATCTTTACAGGGAGGAATATATTACCTTATGATGTCTCCAGAGTAGTTATGATAAAAAGCAGCTAGTAGGGGTAGCTGGCTGATATTATTTCTGTTTTGCTTTCTGCTAGTTGGGTTTTGCTCCTCTTTTCTAAAGATCAGATGCACTGAAGAGACATGATGTATCTCATGCAGAACATGCCCTGCTTCCATCTCTTCTGCCTTTTAACAGCTGCAACTGCCTTCCCAGCCTTGGAGGTAGATGGAAAGTTCAGGCATCTGAGCAAAATATCCCAAGACATGGAGGCCGTCAAAGTAGGTGAGGGGATGGGAAAAGGCAGGAGGGCCATTTTTTAAAGCCATTTCCACTTGATCAGTCTGATAAACCCTTCAGCCTGCCCTGCCAGATGTCTCATCTTTGCTCTCTGAATAGGTGCATTCATAGCCTTAGCTCCACTTTTCAGAGGTACCTGGAATTAAATGGTGCTGCCACATAGCTGGGTATATGGGTGGCAGGTTAAAGCTTTGGATCCTATAGGACAGTGGTGGCAAACCTATGGCATGCATGCCACAGCAGGCCTGCAGAGCCATCTCTACTGGAACACGAGCCAAGTCACCCCAGTAGCCAAGCACTGGGTAACAGTTACTGTTTTTTCTAAACTAAAACTTCAGCCTTCAGTTTTAATTGCAGTGTTGGCACTTTACGATAAATAAGTGGGTTTGGGGTTGCAGTTTGGGCACTCGGTCTCTAAAAGGCTCACCGTCACTGCCATAGGAAGTCTAAATCTGTAAGCATCTACACCACGTGTTACTCCAGGCCAGGCTTTGTGGTCTTTCTGGCTTCTCATCTGAGCTGTTTTTCTCCAGGGCTGGCATTTTGCCCTGAAACCCAGACTATTTAGCTGGGCCCTGCTGCTTTGTCTCACTCTTGTCAGATCTCCTCCTAAGCAAAAAGACAGCTAAAAGAAAGGTCCCTTGGAAACACTAAGTATGGCTCAGTCCTGTGTTGTAGTCAGCCAAATGGAGAACCATTTGCTGTACCCACCGAGTATTTCCGGAATAGCTAAGCCTGGAATGAGCACTTCGTGGACGTTATGCCTGGACAGCTGGGGACATGATGTAGGCTGAGCTTTGCACCTCATTAATTACCTCCAGCCCATTTTCTAACTCCATTGACCCTCCCCACTGACTTATGGATTTATGTTATTTAGTCTCAAAGATAGATGGAATGTTATGGCTGGTGCATACTTTTTGCACTTGAGCCAGTTTTCAGGCTCAGAACTCACTGACAGAGGGAGAGCCCAGGTGCTCGAGAGGAAACACTCCGTAACACTGTGGCAGGTGCATATGATAACAATTTCTCTTATCTTTTCTCCAAAGGAGCCTCTGAGCATTTACTCATAACCATACCCTGGAGAAGCGGCTATATCCAAATATTATAATGAATGTTTGACACAGGGTCTAAGGTGATGTTGATACTCAGGCTGGAAGTGTCATCAGAGCTACTTATGAGAGTAGGAGCTGTTGGTGTCAGATATTAAATAGAGAATCAGCTCATAATAGCACCCAGCCAGTAGTCATTGTCCCACTCCCCAAATACAGGAATTGAATAGACCTATTTGATAGTTGGTGCAGTTTTGCATTGGCTCCTTAGCCTATTGTAGTGGAGGCCAAGTGGAAGCTTCTTAAATTACACTTCTCCCCTCCCCATCCAAGGTACTAAGTAAAACATATCTTATTCAGGGGAAGATGGTAGAAAATAATTAAGACCTGGAGAACGCGGGACATTGTTCTCCATCATATCTCTGTATAATTCACTAGTGTGACTCCTGCAAAAATCAGGCAGATCTTATGGATAATAACAGAGTAGCACACACTCAACCTAGTAGAATCCCTGATTGTAGTTGCTGTGTCATATATAGTACGTTGGGTATTTAGTATGCAGAATCTGGTGAATGCAATTTTTTTCTGTCTGTATCAGAAAGAGAATAACAGTATGCATTCATAGAGAATGAATAACAGTATACCCTCATGGCCTTGCCTCAGGGCTATATCGATTTTTCTCACTTGTATCATACTATGGTGTGAAGAGGCCTGGATTTCTAGGCATCCTCTGTAAAAGGACACTGTTCCACTATATTGCTGACATCATGCCAATTGGGCCAGATGAGCAAGAATTAGAACAATGGATGCCTCAGCAAGGCTCACATGCTTCCAAGGCTTGAAGGTAAGTCCTATGAATATTCAGGGAACTTCTACTTCATTAAAATGTATATGTGTCCAGTGATCTAGAGAATACTATAACATCCCTTTTGAATTAAAGAACAAACTATTACATCATACAATAACTTGAAAAAGGAGCACAGTACTTGGCAGGTCACTTGAGGTTCTAGGAGCAGCATATTTCTCACATGGGAATACTACTGCGGCCCAGGATCAGCTGACATGAAATCTGGTCAGCTTGGAGTGAGATGCAATGCAGAAAAGGACTGTGAAACTGGTTTTGGGTGTGTGCAAGCAGGCTTACTACTTGGCCCATATGATCCAGCGGACCCTATTATGAGAAAAGCTAGTGATGCAGAAAACAATGTCATATAGAACCCATGGCATGCCTCAATGAAAGAATCATGATGTAGGGTTCTGGAGCAAGGCCGTATCATCTGTAGCTGAGAACTAGTCACCTTTAAAAAACTCATGGTTTTCTACTAAGTAAGGCGCATCAAACAAGAGATGGTGCAGCCCAACCTGCCTGTAATGAGTTACATGATGTCAAACAAACCTTATCATAAGATGGAAGAGGTCTATCTAGGACCAAAGGGCACTGTATGGTCAGGGAGAGCAGATTATCTTGGTATCTACTGTTGCTGTACCAGAGCTTTTCCCTCAGCTCACACCTGTAGTGCCTGGAAGAGTCCCTTATGACTAGCAGATGCAGAATTTGTTTCACGGTGGGGCCAGGCTAAGCAATGATGAACAAGCTGCAGTGGACAGTAGCTGCACTGCATCTCTGCTCAGAGGTGGCCTTGAAAGATTGTGGTAAGTGAACACCTTTTCACTGGCCAGAGTTTTAGTTGATGCATTTGGTTAACCACTTGCATGGAAATAGCAGTTATTGGAAGTTAGACCTATACTGACTGAGCCAACTTATGATAAAGTTTGTTTAACATCATGTAACTCAGGGGGAAGGTAAGTAGCATGGCCAGCTGATCAAAGGAAGAGGCCTGAAAGACTGGGGATAAGGAAGTCCTGGGTAGAATGATGCGCAGAGACACATGGGAATGTACGTAAAATGAAAAATTGTATGTCACATGCAAGCCTCACCAGGGAGCATCTATCATAGTAGTGCCACTGAACAGCCAGGGAGGTAAAATGATTCTGATAGGTGATGCCGGCCGTCCTGATAGCAGCCATTCCAGCTACCTTAGTACTAGACAATAGATATAAGTAGACTAATCATGGTGGGAGGGGGATGGAGTTTATGCATGGGGGTAACAGATTGGCTCCTGACCACCAACACTGATCTGGCCACTAAGACTGCGAAATGTCCAGAAGCAGAGAACCAGTGCTCCATCTCTGACGGAGCACAAGCACTTGAGGAGAGCAACATGGCCAGTTAACTACACTGGAACCCTGAAAGGGCCAATGACTCATTTTGGTAGGAACAGATACACAGTCTGGGCATGGGTTTGCCTTTCCTGCCACAGGGCCTTTCTCAGCACTGCTATCCAAAGTATTTAACCTATCAGAACAGGATTATAAATAACGTCTCATCAGACAAAAAGAACCGGTGATGCTAGGCTTTACCCTCCTGACCAGAACACTGCTCATCAGTCTGGCCCAAGTCAAAGCTGAGCTCACTACCTGCACCACCCTGCTCTGGTCAGGGGCTGTGACTATATCCTGGTTTCTGCCTGGCTCATATTCTCCCCTTCCCCATGGATCTGGCACCACGGACCTAGCTGTCTCTTCTGAGTTATGCTATGAGAACCAGCTGCTGTGGGTTCTACACACTTACCTAAATTTTGACGTGCTGCCATCAGTCCAAGCATAAAGGTCCTGGCAGGCTGTACTATTGCTTTGTTTCTCTTCATGCCTTCTGAGCCCAATCCAGAAATCACCATCAGATGCCAAAAGGTTTTCAATGAACATTTGTATCAGTCTCTGCTCGTCTTCAGACTCGATGCTGACGAGCTGGCCCCCATCCCTCTTGCAGGCTTCTTTGGCTTCCTCAAAGTCAAGTCTTCGAGAAGCATCATGGAAGTGAATGACTTTATAACAAGGCCTCTGTGTCCCTCCCCGGCAGACCAGCTGCCCTACAGAACAAAGAAGGCAACCTGTTTCAATGTCCACAAAAAGTATACCAGGAAGGGGGTGATCCTATCCCTGGACAGCAATTCTGATTACTCATCAGCGGACTGTTAGCATGTGAGTTAGGGTTTCCAGAGAAAATGAACACTCTACTCAGCATAGAGATGCAGTGATTTAAACTCCGATGTCCATACTGTCTAAGGGCACCATGTTTTGCTTTTTCTGTTACAAATTCTTGTAAAGCAGACATCACTGTCTTAAAAGAGAAGCTGATGAATATTGATGGTTTCACATAAGGCACACAAATAACACTTTTAAGCCATGAGAGAGTCTCAGGGGATTAGTGTGTCTGGAAGTAGTTATCTTTGTTAAGTGGTTCCTTCAGATAAGAGAGGCGTTCTAAAGTCAGGTACGAATTCCTCTACCTATGAAACAGGACTAATTTGCTCAATCTCTCAGGTGAGCAGAAGCTAATAGCATTCGATGTACAGAATTTCCTGCTACTGATGGTTCTCTGACTCAAAGACAACAGCTAAGTCTTACTCTCCTTTCCCGTAGTAAGGGCTTTATATTTACATACTACCTTATCTCATTTAAACCTCATACCCAACCTCTGATGTAAACATTGTTTATGCCCCATCTTACAGTTGAGAAAAACAAGACTTAGAGTAACCAAGTAATTTGGCTAAGGTCAAATTATTAGCTATCAGCAGCACTGTCCAAGCCAGAACACGGATCTGATGTCAAAGTCATGAGCTATATACACTTCTGGCTTCCCATGCCATCCTGAATTTAGTTTGCACTGGGAGTCTATGTAATGTGTCTCATCTGATTGATACCTGAAGGGCTGAAAATTATTGCAGAAAAAAGGAACAGGATTTTACTGAGAAGCTAGTAACGAAAACTATCAGTATATGCCATTCTACTTTGTGTCTGGGAGGTTAAAGGCTTGCTACAACTGCTATCTTAGTCTCAGTGGTCATTCTTCTGTTCTTCTTGTTTTTTTTTTTTTTTTTCCCATTTTCATTCATTACTCCTTTGTTCAGTCATCATTTATTGAGCTAGGTGCTGAGAATACAGAAACAAATGCCAGTTCTTACACCAGCGGAGCCCACAGCGTATTTCTGCATCTAAATGCACAAAATGAAAACCACATTTCAACAAGGAGAGTAGTCTCCTGGCAATGAGAGAGCCGAGCTGTGGGCTGTGGGGGTGAACTGCTACCACAGAGTGAGGGGTGAAGGATTTTAGTTTGGGAATCTCTTTCCAGAACTTCTGGCACGTTCTCATTTTCCAAACTTGTTTTACAGCAGTGGAAGAAGCCAAATAGCTTTTACTAGTCCCAATACTGTCCAGCATACAGGGCAAAAGGCCACACAGACAGTAAACTACTTTATGGGAAAGAGCACATACAGATGATCCAGAGAGCTCCAGTGAATTTTTATTTTCTATGTCTTCTCTCATCACATTGATAAAGAAATTCTCAAAAAGCAACAAATTGGAAGAGCCTTGGACCTTTCCCCTTTCCTGCCATTTTTTAAAAAAGATATTGTTGCTAAATGGAGCAACTCTAACTGGAGGGGTCCACCGGCAAATTGGGGGGGTTCAAAAGGAAAAGAACGTTCTCACCAAGAGATGTTCCAGAGACTGTGGCTGAGGGGTGGCCAGGGGCTGGGGCTGGGTGAGCCAAGATTCTGTGATTCCTTAAAGGTGGCTTCAAAATCAGTAGAGAAAAGGCAAAGGCCTGCCTGGTGACTAGCATAACACAAGCTGGAGTTGAATTCACTGGCAGCCCTCGTTTTTCCACGCCAGATTGTCAAGGGGAAACATAACACCTTAGTCGGGCTTCCTGTATGGTCCAGTCTGGCCACACATTGCGAGTCTGCAGTGAATGCCAGAGACAGCCAGAGCTGGAAGGAGGCCGAGAGCCCATCTGGTTCCCCTGCCTTCAGGAAGTGTCTTTCTCCTCATCTGCAGGAAGGGGAAGGGTGGGCGGGCCTTCTGCCCCCTACCACCAAGCACCAAGCTTAGCAGCCCAAGGCCAAGCAGCTCAGTTAGGAGCTGCCCCATACCCCACCCCGCCGCCGTCCTGAGACCAACTTTAGATTCCTCAAAGCAGCCTACAGCGGGGATGCCCGGGTGGAGGAAGTTCCTACTCTTCTCGGTCTCTCCGATAGAGCTGTGGGCTGCCAGAGAGGGGGACCCGGGGAAAGGGCGCGGATACTTCCCCTCCACATGCAGAACAACTGAAAGAGGCAAGAAGCCAGGTCACAGTACCTCCGCTAGGGTCCGAGTCCGAGGCTGATGACAGGAAAGGAGGAAGGAAGCAGACAGAGTCACTGCGCGGAGTCAGGCGGGGCGCGTCCCGCGCTCGCCAGGCTGCTTTCGCGATCCCTAAGCGCTTTCCTTTCGCCGCGGGAGCCGGCCATCCTCCCCCAGGGGCAGCGGGGGTAGCAGGCGGGGTGCAGCTCCCCGCCGCCGCCTGCGTGGCCGGCTCCCCGGGCGAGCGGCGCACGGGGGTGGGTTGGGGAGCCTGCGCCCCGAGGGGG